ATCATCACCATCATCATCAACACCGTCATCATCATCACCATCATCACAATCATCATCATCATCATCATCACCATTATCATCATCACCACCATCATCACCACCATCATCACCACCATCATCATCACCATCACCATCATCCTCTATTACCTCCATTAAATATAAACTAGAGATACAAATATTCTAATATCTCATATACAAACCTTGTAAGCACATCAGAGCTCTTGATCAGAACTTTGATTAAAGTACTGAGTGACGTGATGGCCTGGGCTTCTGCTTTCATTTGCTCCAAGTCTCCCGAATGACTGCCCTCGGCTAAGAACTCCAAATAATACGGCAAGATAGCAGACAGAACGACCTAATGATTTAACGATGAATGATTTATATAGCGCACTTTCTCTGTAGATATAATCGAAGGCGCTTTACATTAAGTGCGAATGTCAGATTGCGTTTTATCCAATATACAAAGATGAGAGGTGGTTAGTATGAAGTGTAGGGACTGGGGGTGGTCACTGCCAGGGTTTCTTTACGTCCTCAGTAGTTCTTTTACATCCGTTCGATATTGGTTAGTATCGRTGAAGTGTTGAGAGACGGGACCGCCATTTAAAGTGGTCATCCGAGCCACCCAAAAGTATAACCATTTGCAGATATAATTACAAAGGCAGCACTTTCTCCTCAGTTATTTTAAGACCCTGAGTGTTGGTCCGGCTGGCACTAATTCAAGTGATTCAACAAGTGTGGAATATTGTGAAAAATAATAAACAGATACTGTACGTACCAGCATTTGTGCGGATCGCTTGGACTCTGGAGCAAAGTCAACGACGGTGACACAGAGGCGAATGGCTTCATCTACTTTAGTCTCTCCTACTGGGTCATTGTTATCATCGTAACACGAATCCTAGAATGAAAACAATAGGTTAAAGGATTCAAACGATAGGTGGTTTGCGATCTTTCCCAAGAGAATTAACTAACAACAGACATGGCGGCCATGTTGGAGGATATAACAAAAAATTCATTGACGATTCTTTTGTTAAGTTCCTCCAACATGGCCGCCGTGAAAACCATTAATAGAAAACAAGGAAAAATCTTTGTTAAATTCAACCAAGATTGCTGCGATAAAGACCAGCCATAAATGCACGAATATACTAAGTTTTGTAAAAAAATCTTGAAATTTCGAAAGGGTATAAATTTACTACGAATTCTGTAATAATACTGAGTATAATCGTATGTAGGGTTAGGGAAAGAAGCTGGGACACGAGTGAGACGATCATTATCTGGCTTACCAAGGGTCTCAGAGGCTTTTCTTCATAAACCAGTTCAAGAATATCCAGATTGTCTGGGGTGGTGACATCTAGAGAATTGAGTAAAGCAAACAGACACTTGGGAGAGACCTGCAAAAAATAGGGAGTATCACTCCAATCTTATCGAACCCCGAAACAACCTCTGGGCTGATCTAAGTCAGGGCACGGCTAACTCAAAGATAGAACCCTGAAACAACCTCTGGGCTGATCTAAGTCAGGGCACGGCTAACTCAAAGATNTGGGCTGATCTAAGTCAGGGCACGGCTAACTCAAAGATAGAACCCTGAAACAACCTCTGGGCTGATCTAAGTCAGGGCACGGCTAACTCAAAGATCACACCCTGAAACAACCTCTGGACTGATCTAAGTCATGGCATAGCTAACTCACAGATTGAGCCCTGAAACAACCTCTTGCCTGATCTAAGTCAGGGCAAGGCTAACTCACAGATTGAAGCCTGAAACAACCTCTGGGTTGATCTAAGTCAGGGCATGACTAACTCACAGATTGAGCCCTGAAACAACCTCTKGSCTGATCAAAGTCAGGGCATGGCTAACTCACAGATTGAAGCCTGAAACAACCTCTGGGCTGATTTAGGTCTTGAAGAGAAAAGAAAAAAGGAGAATCTGAAAAATATTTACCAGAGCAAGAGGTTCTTCTGCTGAGGTTTCTGTTGGGTCTTGGAGTTTAGTATCTACTTGTAGTATTGGTGCCACGCTGGCAAGCAGCTGTAGAATAAAAAAGATCAGGTCATTAGACAATAGTTGAGCGCCAAGGCAGAGTCAATAAGGTCATAAGAAAGAATTGAGATCATACTTGTAATACACGAAGACAAACGGTGCGCGAAAATGAAGGCAATGGCGCCAGAGTAGACAAAAAGTCAAGTCACACGACACGGTCACGGTACAGAATTGACCACATCTTTCAGTGAACCAATCAAAGCGCGAGATTACTGTTCATTTATGATCTAGCTTAACAGGTCATGTCACGGCACGGCACACAAGTCACTTTATGTCACGTGCACGCCTTGGCACATCTTGGCGCACGCCATGTCATGTCACATGACGGCCTGTCACGGCTCGTAATTACCGTGATTTTTTACAGTCAGTGTCATGAGAAGCCTTTACAAAAAAGAACCAACTGCGCAAGTTCATGCGCACAGGAAGCTAAATTATTTAAAAGAAAATCAAGTTTTCGGGCGGTTGGGTTTTTCCTAGAGAAATTCAAAATGATGAAATATTAAAGCTTTACTGYGACTCACCTGTAGGACACATGGCTTTTGATGCAGGATGTAGAACTGACTCATCGTAAACTAGAAGAAAAAATAAGGCAATGTAATATGTTCTAACAACAACACTACGTTTCTCACAATACTCGAGTATAAAATTCAAGTGTTTCAGTGACGGTTCGAGGAATTTCAAAATGTTTGTATTGTTATAGTTATGAATTGTTTACTTTAATCTTTGTATTTGTAAATATTTTGACACTAGAATAAGGCTAAACTGAGTAAATGAGTCTGAAATCAAGGAAAAAATCCTTGAAAAATCGTAAAACAGCGGTATTTGAACTCTATCTATCAAATATTCTACTGCGTTATTTGATATACTCTCTTTGCAAACTTACCTCCACAGCCTGTCGAACCATGTCGTTGCCTTGGTGATGGGCGTAGACTTGAAGCAACGATGGGAAAATAAACTGGAAGCTACCAAGACAATAGAAGATTATAACAAAGACAAATAAACCACTAATTGGGAGAGGGTCAGGCAGTCTTAACCTGTTTTGGTTCTATGACGGGTTACCTGTGGTGCATAGATCGATTATAACACAGGGATCCTAAAGGGTCATTCTCAGACTTACCCGTCAGAAATGAAAATGTGATCAAAATGAATACAGATATTGATGAGCGACGCCATGCACAAACGAATCATTGCCGTATCCTCGCAGTGAAGGAGAATGGCTCCATTGATCACGTTCAAAAAGAGCGTTAGGTCCGCAAAGCTCCATGGGAAGTCACGGGGCATGTACTGCAGTAGAGACACGATGAGCTGCATAACAAAAGAAATTTTCGCGTGTAAATTCATGTTTTTTTTCTTTAAATATTTATTAAACTTTGGATTTTGTACTAAGAAATAAACGCAACACAACAAATGCATGTCATACAATGAATAATATTAATACAGAACATTTATATATGTATACATGTTACGTCACAGCCGCCATCTTGGTTGACGATAACAAAGCATTCCTCATTAGCTTCTCTCGTTAGATCAACCAAGATCGCGGCTGTTTCATTGCTATTTATATCTCAAGGGATTTTGAATCATGTGCAAGACTGATTATGAAAACCAAACGGTTAGAATTTAAAATACGTTGTACTCACATTAACCCAGTACATCTTATGGATGACATCCATACCAAACAACTCCTGAAAAAATGACACAGAAGTGTTTAAATCTGTTACCTTATGTAAAGCAAACAAGGTGCAATCTGGTACAGTTCGGGYAGAGACAGCACCATGACGCTACTATGTAAGGCATGAAGAAAGAAGCACCCAGTACCCAAGCTATACTACAATGCACCTTCTGTGCTACTTCTTGTTCGCGTAGAGACTTAGATTCTTTCATCTCTTTTGTTAACTCTTTTCACCCTGCCTTAGACTTTACGTGGGAGGTTAGTGAAACATCAGTCACTTTCCTTGACATCTTGCTTAGTGTTAATGACGATCGTCTTAGCACTAGTGTCCATTACAAACCTACTGACTCTCATTCTTATTTACTCTACTCGTCTTCTCATCCTAAGCACACTCTTAACGCTATTCCGTTCTCGCAATTTCTTCGTCTTCGTCGTTTGTGTAGTGATGATCTTGATTTTTCTGTTAAATGTTCTGAGATGCGTTCCTTCTTCCTTAAGCGTAATTATCCTGCTCATGTTAT